AACTGGGTTGACCAGTACCAGGGTGCTCAGTACTGGGGGGCAACTGGGGTGACCAGTACCAGGGTGCTCAGTACTGGGGGGCAACTGGGGTGACCAGTAATGGGGGGCAACTGGGGGAGTGGGGTGACCAGTACTGGGGGGGGTAACTGGGGTGCTCAGTACTGGGAGGCAACTGGGGTGCCCAGTATTAGAGTGCTCAGTCCTGGGGGGCAACTGGGGTGACCAGTAATGGGGACAACTGGGGGACTGGGGTGCAACTGGGGTGCTCAGTACTGGGGTACAACTGGGGTGACTGGTACTGGGAGGGTAACTGGGGTGCCCACTACCAGGGTGCTCAGTACTGGGGTGTAACTGGGGTGACTGGTCAGCAGGCACCAGGCCAAGGTGGGGGGTGCAGGAACCCCCCCAGGTCACACCCCCAGACAGACAGACAGACGGGGTGTCTGTCCGTCCGACCCCCCCGGCAGCGCCCATCAGTCACGGGACCGTCACGCGCTCCCACGGGACCGGCAGTTTCCTCCCGCGGCTGCCCCGGGGACGGCGGGGGGGGGGGGGGGGGGACGGACATGTAACGGGGAGACACAGACAGTCCTGGGGGGGGATGGGGACATGGTGGACCCTGCCTGGGCTCCCATGGAGCGACATGGGCTGTGGGGATGGGGATGATGACACCCAAGGGACACCGTGGTGCTGGGGACACCGTGGTCCAGCCATCAGGGCCATCCCTGTGGCCATGACACCACGGCTCTGGGGACATCCCAGGGGTCACCATGGCCCTGGGGACACCACGGCCACTACAGCCATCCCCATGGCCATGATATCACAACTCTGGTGACATCCCTGGGGACATCCCTTGGGACACCACAGCCCTGGGGACACCATGGCCACCACAGCCATCCCCATGGCCATGATGCCACAGCTCTGGTGACGTCCCTGGGGACACCATGGCCACCACGGCCATCCCCACAGCCATGACTCCATGGCTCTGGGAACACCATGGTCCTGGGGACACCGTGGCCACTGCAGCCATCCCTATGGCCATGACACTGTGGCCCTGGGGCCACCACAGCCCTGGGGCCATCCCTGGGGCCACTGTGGTCCTGGGGATGCCACAGCCACCAGGGCCATCCCTGTGGCCATGACACCACGGCTCTGGGGACATCCCAGGGGTCACCATGGCCCTGGGGACACCATGGCCACCACAGCCATCCCCATGGCCATGATGCCACAGCTCTGGCGACGTCCCTGGAGACACCATGGCCCTGGGGACACTGTGGCCCTGGGGACACCATGGTCCTGGGGACACTGTGGCCACCACAGCCATCCCCATGGCCATGATGCCACAGCTCTGGTGACGTCCCTGGGGACACTGTGGCCCTGGGGACACCATGGTCCTGGGGACACTGTGGCCACCATGGCCATCCCCACAGACGTGACTCCATGGCTCTGGGGTCAGCCCTGGGGACATCCCTGGGGACGCCATGGCCACCATGGCCATCCCCATGGTCATGACACTGTGGCCCTGGGGACACTGTGGTCCTGGGGACACTGTGGTCCTGGGGACACCATGGCCACCACAGCCATCCCCATGGCCATGATGCCACAGCTCTGGGGACACCGTGGTCCTGGGGACATCCCTTGGGACACCACAGCCCTGGGGACACCATGGCCACCATGGCCATCCCCATGGTCATGACACTGAAGCCCTGGGGACATCCCTGGG